TGAAGTGTGATATTAGGTTGTTAATCTGTGATCTTTCTACTTTTTTGATGTAGGCATTTAATGCTATAAACTTTTCTCTTAGCACTGCTTTTGCTGTATCCCACAGGTTTTTTGGTATGTTGTGCTTTTATTTTAAATTAATTTAAAAATATTTTTTAATTTTCATCTTTATGTTTTCACTGACCCAGTAGTTGTTCAGGAGCATGTTGTTTAATTTCCATGTGTTTGTATAGGTTCTAAAATTCCTCTTCTGGCTTTATTCTGCTATGGTCTGAGATGACACTTGATATGATTTTGATTTTGATTAATAAAAACTTGTTAAGACTTGTTTTGTGGCCTAAAATGTGGTCTCTCTTGGAGAATGTTCCATGTGATGGTGAAAAGAATGTATATTCTGTAATTGTTGAGTGGAATATTCTGTAAATGTCTATTAAGTCCGTTTGGTCTAAAGTCCAATTTAAGTCCAATGTTTCTTTGTTGATTTTCTGTCTTGATCTATCTCGTGCTGTGAGTGGGGTATTGACGTCCCCCAATATTATTGTTTTGCTGTCTGTCTCTTTCTTTAGGTCTCGTAATATTTGTTTTGTGAATCTTGGTCTTCTAGTGTTGATTGCATATATATTTAGAATTTTTATATCCTCTTGCTGAATTGATCCCATTATCATTATATGATGATCTTATTTATCTTTTTTTTTCTGTTTTTGATTTAAAGTCTCTTTTATCTGATACAAGTGTAGCCACTCCTGTTTGCTTTTTGTTTCTGTTTGCATGGCATATCTTTTCTACTCCTTTACTCTTAGTCTCTATGTGTCTTTATGGATAAGGGGAGTATTTTGTAAGCAGCATATAGTTGGGTCGTGTATTTTTATCCATTCAGTCAATTTATATCTGTTAAGTGGAGCATTTAATCTGTTTACATTGAAGGGTATTCTAATATTGATACGTGAGGCTTTGTTCTTGTCATATTGGTAGTTGATTTCTCATTGTTTTATAAATTCTTGTTTCTTTTTTTTTTATATCTTTTTGTGGTTTGCAGAACTTCTGTCATGTTGCCATTTAATTCCTTTTTCTTCTAATGTTGTTTGATTGTTTTATAAGACCTGTGAGTTTTATGTATTTGTGTGTTTTCATGATGGTGCTTATTGACCTTTTGTTTCCGTATTTTAGACTTGTTTGCATATTTTCTGTAGGGCTGATCTAGTGGTGATGAATTTTTTGAGCGTTTGTTAGGGAAAGACTTTATTTCTTCTTCATTTATAAATCTTTTTTTTCCTTTCAGCACTTTGAAAATACAGTCCCATTCTCTTTTTGGTCTGTAAGGTTTCTGCTTAGAGGTCTGCTATTAGTCTAATGGGGTTCCTTTATAGGTGCTTAGACACTTCTCTCTTGCTAATTTTAAAATTGTCTCTTTCACTTCAACTTTAGTTAATCGTGATTCTGATACGCCATAGTGAAGTCCTTTTTGTGTTGTGTTTGAGGATCACTTGGCCTCCTGTCTCTGAATGTTTAACTGTCTTGATAGTTCCGGGAAGTTTACATCAATTATTTTCCTAAACAGTTTTCTAAACTTTTCGATCTCTCTTCGCCCTCGAGAATACTGATAATTTGTAAGTTCAGTCACTTTATAGTTCCAGACATCTTGAAGGTAAAATTTTTTCCTTTTTTTTCATCTGACTGGATTATTTCAAAAGACCCCTTTCAGGTTCTGAGATTATTTCTTCATCGTGGTCTAGTATATTCTCAAAGCTTTCGAAGGTCTTTTGTATTTCCTTCAATTGATTTTTAATTCCAGAACTTCTGTTTGGTTTTCTTTTTATGGTATCTATTTCCTTGGTAAATTTCTCATTCATATCCTAAATTGATTTTCTGATTTCTTTGTATTGGTTTTCAGATTTCTCTTCCATCTCATTGAGCTTCTTTAGAATCAATATTTGATATTCTTTATCTGGTATTATGAGGAGTTCTTTCTATTGAGATCCATTGCTGGATAGTGGTGGTCCTTTGGTGGTATCATATTTCCATTGATAATTGCACATGTGATGTAGCAGTTGCTTTTTCTGATTTTTTGAAATTGCTTTTGAAGGGGAGAATTTTTTCCTGAAGGTATATATGTGCTGTTGGTTGAATATGACACTTTGGCCTTGATTTTGGGTGCCTCCAAGTAGTTTGGTCTTTGTATGATTTCTTAGTCCTTACATAGGGTCAGTGGTATCTGTAATTTCCTTGTTGGCTTAGGGAACAGTTACTAGTTGAGGCTGTGCTGATGTTTAGCTGGGGATTTGAATGACAGCCAAGCCAGTCTTTGTGCCCCAGTGATGTAAGGAATGGGCTGAGTATACCTGATTTTAGGCCCCAGAACATCTTACACTGGCAGCAGTTAGTGCGTCCTGGGTGGCCAATTCATGGGCCTTCAGGTGGCTTGCTCAGAAGCTAGTAGCTGACACAGAGGGCCAGGTGTGTGGGTGGGTTCTCAGACCCCTGAGCAGCTAGTGCGATGTGGAAGGTTTAGTAAGTTCAGTCCCTTTATAGTCAGTAGTATAGGCAGTAGCAGTGGTGGACCCATCCACTAGGATGGACCCAAGTGGTCCGTTTTGGTGTTACTGGTGGCTGCAGTGGATTAGGCAGGCTAGTCCCCAGTACCACAGCTGCCTGTTATAGGGCAATGGGTATTGTCATAAATGTGCTTAGGGGAGCTTGATGTCTCCTGTCCTTCCCGGACATGTGGCAACTACAGTCACATCACCTTGAATCCAGCCTATGGGCTGGGCGTGGCCCAGTGTTGAATTCTCAAAATGGCACTGGGTGTGGGCTTGCAGTGAAAGAGGGCAGGGCCTCTTTCAGGCAAGCAACATAGACAAGAAACTGGGGAGTGCTATCTATTTACTTTTCAGTCTCATCCTATGGCAGGGCAGTGGGAATTGTCCTATGTAGGGTTGCTTGGGCTTTCCTGTCCCTCCTCAGCTGGGTGGGGCTGCAGCAGCATCAGCTCAATACAGCCTGAATGCTGGATGCTGCCCAGCTTTAAACTCCCAAACTGCCACTTTGGGCCTGTGGCTAGAAAGGGTTGGGTCTCTTCCAGGAAAATATTACGGGCAAGACGCTGGGTGGAGATTCAAATCTGTTGAATAAGTATTGAAGCTCCCCACATCTAGGAGCTTCTCCCAGCCATTAGCCTGTCCCTGGCTGGGCAAGTTTCCCTGAACCCTTTCCTTATTCAATTTTGATGCTTTCTGTTGCTTCCCTGGTGAATCTTAGCGTTCTCTCCTAGGTGATATGTTCAAAATATTAGAATCTACTTACTATTCAGGTTCCTCTCCTAGCACATGCTCCCTGTGTCTAGTTGGCCATCTTGATCCTGTATCCCCAGCAGAATTAGTTGAAAAGACTGTCTTTGTGCCATTGTATTGCCTCTGCTCCATTTTCAAAGATCAGTTAACTATATTCATGTGAGTCTATTTGTGGGCTCTCTGTTTTGTTCCATTAATCTATTTATTTTTCTTTTGCCAGTACCACTGTTATCTTGATTGCTTTAGCATTATAGTGAATCTTAAAATGGGGTCGTATCAGTCCTTAGACTCTCCTTCAAAGTTATGTTGGATCTTTTACTCAGAAATTACCTTTCTCTAATGTCTTATCTTGGTTATTCATTCAGTAAATATTTATTGAGCTTTTACTTCTTGTCAGGCACTTTGCTGGGTACAGGGAATGTAGTAGGGAAAATGTTGATGTCTAGGGTCAAGAGAAACTGTAGATAAGTGGTAAAGACAGGCAGGCGATTATTTAAGTTATAGAAACACAATTGTTAGAAGTGTATTTATCCAGAAGACCTAGCATAGACTGGATGATTAGGGAAGGTTTGGCTGAGGAATTGACATTTGAGCTGTGATACGAAAACTGAGACACGTATCTGCAAAGACAGAGGGGAAGACCATTCTAGATACTGGAAATGGCGCGAACTTGAATTCAAGAAGAGGAAAGAGGCACGTGATTTGGTTGGAGATCTTTAGAGATTACATTTTAAAGTGTTTTGTAGCCATTGTTTTTCAAACTTCAGATTGTGACTCCCTAGTAATGGTGAAATCTGTTGAATAAGTAGTGACCAGCATTTTGAAACAAACAAAAACAGAATAGAAAATGTTACTGTGAATTGCAGTTATAGAGATGACTATAATTTTTATGAAATTTTAGTTCTAGTTATTTATATATAACAAAATGCACACATGTACACACATACACACATATAAACTAATGGTAGCACACAAGAACGTTTGTTAAATACTACTAGACTTGACCACTTTTCAGAAAGTTTGAGTGATTGTTCCTTCTTGATGCTGTAGTCTAAAACTAACATTATTTTCTGAACTTTATCAATGTTTTTCATGTGAAAAAGCCCTGTATTATTTGTGTATAATCATGAACTGCTGCTGTGTATATATCCCAAAGTCAGATACAGATTTGTTTACTCACTTCTTCAAGTTACTTCTCAAGGCTATGGGAATTTGGCGTAGTTTAGTTAAAAAAAAAATTGTCAGGGAATCAAGAAACCTATTTTAGGTTCTAGTTACAATATTTTTATGTCAGCTTTTCTGAGTTGTTTAACACATCCTCTTTTCCTAATTTTTCACATCACTAAGAGAAATTATATTGTCTATTCCATATTTACTCATGATATGTTTTTACATTTAGGAGATAATATTTATAAAATGATTTGAAAGGGAAGTTAAATGTAAGTAAAACCCCCCACAATATACTATGAATTGCGATTCAGATAAGCTTAGGTTTCTCTGTGTAGAAGAGGGCTAGAGGTGGGAAGAACACTGGCAAATATCCTGTTGATTCTTAAATATAGTTGCAATATAACTCATTACGAGAAATGATGTTAGTTAGAAATTACCCCAGGAAATATATGGTTACTTAACAATTGAATCATAGAAACTGAATAATTTTAGAACATGAAAATGGGTTATTATGAAAATTGTAGTTAACAATAATTGGTTTATTTTGATGTCTTCTGGATTTTAGGTCGAATGGCACCACCTGTAGATGATCTTTCTCCGAAAAAAGTGAAAGTTGTTGTTGGAGTAGCTCGTAAGCATTCAGACAACGAAGCAGAAAGTATAGCTGATGCATTGTCTTCAACCTCAAATATTTTGGCTTCTGAATTCTTTGAAGAGGAGAAACAAGAGTCTCCAAAGTCAACATTCTCTCCTGCTCCCCGGTAATTTTCTATAAGTCAAAATTCCTGTAATAGTCATTATAGATCTTTACCTAATTGTACTTGTAAATCTTCAAAAATGGAAGAGTGACACATTTCTTAGGAACTTTCCTTTTGAGAAAGTAACTGTACGTTCCTGTACTCTAAACTAATGGGGATAAAAGAATAAGCCTTGAAGGTTAATTTATTTTGCGTGCTTAGAGTGAGAGATTTGAATACTTGGGGAAACAGCTTTAGAACTCTCTTTAATTATGCTTGTCCAAAAAGTCAGGGGATAGATTTTTAAAGAAAAATTATTTGTCCCTCTCTGGACCTTAGTCTACCTAGGCCAGCCAAGAAGGATGACTTTGTAAAACATTGCTGTGTAAATGTGAATGTAATTTTATAAAATGAAAATGTAAACTCCTTATCAATAGCCTTTTTATGTATTTTGGCCTTCTTGACATGTTAAAATAGAAGTAACTAATGACTAAGTAGAAAATGGATTTATTGATGAACGTGTCTTTAGGTTGCTAACTTTTTAATATCATTTTCTAGTCCAGAGATGCCTGGAACTGTTGAAGTTGAGTCTACTTTCTTGGCTCGATTGAACTTCATCTGGAAAGGTTTTATCAACATGCCTTCTGTGGCAAAATTTGTTACCAAAGCCTACCCGGTATCTGGCTCCCCTGAATACTTGACAGAGGTACTATGAATTTTTCTGCCTTTTTCTGTCTCTGTCTCTGCCTTTTTCTGTCTCTGAAAGCAATGAGGGAAACAATACACAGTTAATAATATAACAAAAATATTTATTAACAGTGATCCTTAAACAGTTCAATTAATGGAATTATGAATTCACAATTCTTTAAAAAGAAGGTTTTAAACCCGCATATCCTGTACTTTTCTGAAGATGTACTACTTTACTATGTCAGAGAATTAAAACTTAATGAGAATCTGCATGGGTATCCAAGGTTTTCTTTGAATATAGACTTACCTAAAAGATTGGCATACTAATGGCCTTCAGTGTTAGTCCATTAAAAAGATTTTTCATTGTTAAACAAGTCTTCTAATTTCTCCACTACTTATGTTTTCCCAGCTTCATGACTATAGTTCTTACTTGCTTATTTCTGTGACTATGGTGTTTGTAGACTGGGAGTTGAGGCTTTGCAGCTAGGTGAAACAGTCTGTGAAATTAGTGACCGTTGTTGCTGTAGTGATGAAACTATTATGTAGTGTTTATTGAAAATAAGCAGCAGTAGCATTATAATATTGTGATAAGTGAGAAAGTATGACATTTTTTGAACTATTTTGAAGAAAATGTATTTTCGCATATGTGTAGAAAGAAAAATCTGTATATATGTACTATATGTTGAGATCATATTTTGCGATTATGTTCATATCTAATGTTAGCCATAAAAGCAAAAGATTTTTAAAAATTCAGTATTTCTAAAAACCTAATTTATATGCCTGCTATCTTTAAGGCTAACATCAGCTTTACTTTTCTTCAGATTAGGCTGAAATTAGTTTTATTCAATGTAATATCGCTTATCTGATGTTGATTAGTTTATTTGTTTAACAGTTATATTTTTGATTAATATAATCGTTACTTTTATACATAGTTTGCTTGGTAAAGAATTTTTTTTTTTTTTTTTTGAGACAGAGTCTCACTCTACGGCCCTGAGTAGAGTGCTGTGGCGTCAGCCTAGCTCACAGCAACCTCAAACTCCTGGGCTCAAGGGATCCTTCTGCCTCAGCCTCCCGACTAGCTGGGACTACAGGCATGCGCCACCATGACCGGCTAATTTTTCTATATATTTTTAGTTGTCCGATTAATTTCTTTCTATTTTTAGTAGAGACGGGGTCTCGCTCTTGCTCAGGCTGGTCTCGAACTCCTGAGCTCAAACGATCCGCCCGCCTTGGCCTCCCAGAGTGCTAGGATTACAGGCATGAGCCACAACGCCCGGCCCAAGAATATTTTAAAAACGCGAATTTTATAAGAGAAAAATAAAGTAGACTCTTGATGTTCTTTTTGAACAAATTTGTTTGGAAATTTAGTCTTTGGTGCGTGGTGAAAATAATTCTTCTTTTAAATGGAGAATTAAATTTAGCAAAGAAAAATTAGCTGTGAAATCCTTTTGATTTTAAATAAGATTATTATTTTCCTCTCTGAGCCACAGTTTTTATATGGTTGCTTTTCAGAATTCCACCTCTGCTTTGTACATATTTTTAGTTTGATTGGGACTAAAATTCCAAATAAAATATTTAAAGCAATTAATAATTTAAATAAATATAACTGAATTTAATGTTAATGCTTTTTATAATTTTCTTCAGTCTTCATGAAAAAATAGGAATATAATGAATAAAGCTTTAAATATTCTTAATTGGTTTTGTTTATAGTCATTTGTTTTCAGAAAGATTATACTTTTAATAAAATACCTGGCATTATTACGGTGTTATTGTCCTCTGTGCAAAAAATATACCCTGTAATTACGTTAAATTTTATAACCTGTGAAATTCAGTTGTTAATGATTAAGGAATACTCCTGCTTACACCACCAGAAAAAGTAGGGGGAAGGTTAGAACAGGCTCTACTTAATATTCTGAAATGTGTTATACTTTTTCTGGATTGTTAATGTGCTGTGCTTGCCTGCTTCCCTTTCCTGTGCCCATCTTTCCTGCTGAGACCTGGCATGAGCTCAGACTCTTTTTTAATAACTGTAGTTTTTAGGCATCAGTCATTTGCAGTTGGCATTGTAAAGCCTGATTGCTGTCTCTGTACTTTATTATGTTTTCTGATGCATTTTTCGTAATCTTTTTACTTGTTTTTATTACCATTCAAATTAAGCTTACAGTAAATTTGTACAGTTTCTGGATATTTTAATAAAATAAATATAAAAATATAAAAATTTAATAAAATTCATTTTAATAAAAGCATTCTGTATATATTGATCACTTACATTTTTTACCACAGGATCTACCAGATAGTATTCAAGTAGGTGGCAGAATATCACCTCAGACAGTTTGGGATTATGTGGAAAAAATAAAAGCATCAGGAACCAAGGTGAGGAAAACCTTTCACTATACCAGTATGGGAAAATGTTTAGAAAGTAAACAACTCAGAGTTCTTATGTGAGGATGCAAGGTTTCCTGGGGAAGGGAGCCAATACAGATTCTGAATCTACATAATATTCTTCAAAAAACTGAACTTAAAGCCATTTGCTAAGGCTCAAAACAGTCCAGCATTCCTTCTCCCCGCCACCCCTCCCCATCCCACCATTGTGGGATGTTTTCTTTGTGGCTTTTGTCAATGTTTTGGAAGAAATGTTTTAGAGTAAGTATTGAGATTCACCCTGGAATTTTGCCTTCCTTCAATTAAAGGTATTTGTGTGAGTTAGGGCACAGCTAAGCTCTTGACAACAAAGAGACTCTAAAATATAGTGGCTCAAAGAATGCAGCAGTTTATTTCTCTCTTCCGTTACGTAGGCCAGTTGTTCAGGGTGGTTAGGTGACTTTGGTTCTATGGGATCATTTAGGGACCATGCTCCTTCTTTCTTGTTATTTTGCTGTTTCCAAGACTGTTGCCCTTATCAGTCAAATATGATTAAAGCTGACTCATAAGCACCAAATGGGAATAAATGAGGAATGCCTTTCTAGTTGTTTAAAGTGCAAGACCTAGAAGTTGTAGTCATTAACTTCCATTGGCAAGAACTTAGTCACATAACCTTACATAGCTGCTAGGGAGGATGGGAAGTGTAATCTCAGTTGGATGGCCACATGCCCAGCTAAAAGTTAAGGGCTTCTCATTAGAGTAGGAGGAAAGGAGGAGAAAAGATACTGAGAGATAATTAATAGCCTTATATCGCAATAATATTTCTCTTTTTCCTTTTTCTCTATTTTTTTATCATTTTTTTAAACTCATAAAATAGTACTACAGAGGGAAATTTAATCATTAGAAGAAACTGTTTTCCCCTCCAAGGGATCTTGTAGTACCTACCATGTTACAAGCAGTTGGTAAATAAATCTTGAAGAAATCGGCGTTACTTTTTTCCTCTTTGTAGAAGTCTGTAGTTTTTCTTTGGAGTGATCCAAAATGGATGATCTTAAGATGAAAAGAATATTTTTTTTTCCAATATGGATTTTAGAATTTAAATTGATACAGTGTTAGAATACAAATAAACTTTGAAACACTATTCAGAAAGTTACTACATGTATTTGTTGTTACTCTCTCATTGTAATAAAAACGGGAAGTATTACTTTTGGACATTTTGGGAATTGCTCTTGAATATACCCCTATATTAATATTACTGCCAACACTTTAAAGTATTCTTCCAACTTGAACTGATTTAAACAGTATAATAGTGGTTACTAATATGTGTATGCTGATTTTGAATCTAAAAGTGGGAAGTTTAGATAACAGACATTTGATAAGAGGTAGAGCCATAGTTCAGCTCATTCATATGTTTTCTTCAGGAGATTCCATCAGTTTTAGGCTTTGCAACAAATCTAGCTTTCCCATTTTGATTGTATGCCTTTGTGGAAACATCCATTTCTTAATGCTACCAAATTAATACCAAATTATGATTATCTTTTCTATCTGAAACAAAGCCAGGAACCCAGAGGCAAGTAAAAATTTCCTAAATAAGCCAAATTACTTTACAAAGTATATGATCTTATGTATATTTGAGGTCTTTTCACCATCCCCCTTCAGTCCTAAATTCAGTTCCTATAAAATGAATTGTAAGTGGATTTATGTGTGTGTGTGTGTATAAATGCATAGGAGGGTGCTGGTGTTGGTTGCTCTTAGTTCCCAGTGTGCCAAAGAACATAGACAGCCCTCTGTGGAAGTTATAGCATTGGGAATCAGGATATAGTATAGATACCAAAACACTGGAGTTTCAGTGTCATTTCTGCCAGTGACAAGTTGTGGCATCTTGAAAAAATTAATCACCTTGGGACTCAATTTGTTATGGAAAGCCATCAGGTGAAAACAAAATCCATCAATGGATCAGCAAAGATCTTTTCTTAAAAGTTATTTCCTTTTAGTATCCTCATCTGTATTTAAGTTGGTAAACCATGTTATTGCGTAACCATCATTGTAAAGTGCAGTAGATTATTACTGATTGCAAAATAGTATTTAAAACCAAGCTATTCTTCAGGTTATTATTTTAAACAACCATTTGTTATTTTCTTATAGGAAATCTGTGTGGTTCGCTTTACACCAGTAACTGAAGAAGATCAGATTTCTTATACTTTGCTGTTTGCATACTTCAGTAGCAGAAAACGCTATGGAGTAGCTGCTAACAACATGAAGCAGGTTAAAGATATGTACCTTATTCCTTTGGGTGCTGCAGATAAAATTCCACACCCTCTTGTGCCTTTTGATGGACCTGGTAGGTATACATTTTAATAACAGGATAAGATTAAAATTACATGGGAGGTGGGACCAGAGTGGAAAGACTGACTGCTTGCTTTTTCAGGATCCAGCCCTCTAGAGATGGCTTAACAGGGCCAGGCATCCATTTAATAACCTGTACTAAGCTAGATGCAAAATTTTGCCTTTTTTTGGTAATGACTGAAAATGATTATCAATTGATGTTTTTGATTTTTATACAGGGCTTGAACTGCATAGACCGAATCTGTTGTTGGGCCTAATTATTCGTCAGAAACTGAAGCGGCAACATAGTGCTACTGCCACTACTAGTCATACAGCTGAGGCTTCTGAAAGTATACCGATAGTGTTGCCACCTGATAAAAAAAGTAAAATGGAAGGTTCTACAGAGGAAGCACCAGAGGAAGAAAATGACTTTTTTAATTCTTTTACAACTGTATTACACAAGCAGAGAAATAAGCCTCAGCCGACTCTTCAAGAAGACCTTCCAACAGCAGTTGAACCTTTAATGGAAGTTACCAAACAGGAGCCACCAAAACCTTTAAGATTTCTTCCTGGTGTATTGATTGGCTGGGAAAATCAACCTTCTACTCTGGAATTAGCAAATAAACCTCTTCCTGTGGATGATATACTTCAAAGCCTTTTAGGTACCACTGGTCAAATATATGACCAGGCTCAATCAGTGATAGAACAAAACACTCCTAAAGAAATTCCATTTTTAAATGAGCAAACCAACTTGAAAGCAGAGAAAATAGATAAAGTAGAAGAAACTGATGGTGAAGCCAAGGAGGTAAAAGTTAAAGTAGATAATCTTTCAGAATCCACAGGTAATTCAGTAGTAATAGGAGAAGAAACATCAGTAGAAGGATCCTCCTCCATTTCTCCAGGGCCTTCGACAGGTCTTAGTCTCAGAGGTAAACCACCAGATGTTTCCACAGAAGCCTTCTTAACAAACTTATCAATTCAGTCAAAACAAGAGGAAACTGTGGAGAGTAAAGAGAAAACATTAAAAAGACAGCAGTTGCAAGATCAAGAGAATAATTTGCAAGATAATCGGACTTCAAATACCAGTTCTCCATGCAGATCCAATGTGGGAAAAGGAAACATAGATGGTAATGTGAATTGCAGTGAAAACCTTGTTGCTAATGCAACAAGGTCCCCACAGTTTATCAACCTGAAAAGGGATCCTAGGCAAGCAGCAGGACGAAGTCAGCAGGTAACTACTTCAGAAAGCAAAGATGGAGATAGTTGCCGGAATGGAGAAAACCAGACCCTGCCTGGCCTGTCACACAACAAGGAGCACTTAGTGGAACATACCAACGTAGAGGAAAAGTCGTCTTCTGCAGAGAAAAACTCAAGTGTTCAACAGAGTGATAATGCAAAAGTTGCCCAAAACTCACCATCAGTAGAAAACACACACACTTCTCAAACAGAACAAGCAAAGCCCTTACAGGAGGATGTTTTAATGCAAAATATTGAAACTGTGCACCCATTTAGAAGAGGATCAGCAGCAGCAGCGACATCTCATTTTGAAGTTGGAAACACATGTCAATCAGAATTTCCATCTAAAAACGTCAACTTTACTTCCAGAAGCACCAGCCCCAGAACAAGTGCAAACTTTTCACCCATGAGGCCACAGCAGCCCAACCTCCAGCATCTCAAGTCTAACGCGCCTGGATTTCCATTTCCAGGGCCTCCTAATTTTCCCCCACAAAGCATGTTTGGATTTCCACCACATTTGCCACCTCCATTACTTCCCCCACCAGGCTTTGGCTTTGCTCAAAATCCCATGGTTCCCTGGCCACCTGTTGTTCATCTTCCAGGCCAACCGCAGCGTATGATGGGTCCTCTTTCACAAGCATCAAGGTATATAGGCCCACAAAATTTTTACCAGGTTAAAGACATTCGGAGACCAGAAAGGCGCCATAGTGACCCTTGGGGTAGGCAAGACCAACAGCAACTGGATAGGCCATTTAATAGGGGTAAAGGGGACCGCCAGAGATTTTATAGTGATTCACACCACTTGAAAAGAGAGCGACATGAAAAGGAATGGGAGCAAGAATCTGAAAGGCATAGACGCAGAGACAGAAGCCAAGACAAGGACAGAGACAGAAAAAACAGGGAGGAAGGGCACAAAGATAAAGAGAGGGCACGGTTATCACATGGTGATCGAGGAGCAGATGGGAAAGCAAGCAGAGATAGTAGGAATGTAGACAAGAAGCCAGATAAACCTAAAAGTGAAGACTATGAGAAGGACAAAGAACGAGAGAAAAGTAAACATAGAGAAGTAGAAAAGGACAGGGATAGGTACCATAAAGATAGGGACCACACTGACAGAACTAAAAGCAAAAGGTAAAATTTGCAGGCTGCTTCAAGATTACATTTAAATAACTGTTAAATGTTGTATCTTAAAAACTTTCTAAGATTGCCTGCTAAGATTGTGCCATCTTTTACATTTTTACTATTGGTGGTTTGCAGAACAATAAATTCTGTGTGTTGGTGCAGAGTACTCTGTGCCAGTGCTCATCATCCCTTCTTCATACCAACTGTCCCTAGTAATAGGAATTTAATATTTTTAAAAGTTTTACATTGCTGTATATTCAAAGATTTGTTTTATTAATATGCAATAAAGGCTTAGAAATTTTAGTTTTGTTCCTTAATTGGTAAATATGGTTAACTATGGAATATATTTACTGCCTCTAGTGAATGTCCTTTATATAATGACTAATTTGAGAGTAATGTGTGCTCGTAAGTTTGTTTTAAATTGCACTGTTTTTAAGGAACCTGTAGAGGAACAACAAAAGTCCAAGCAACTTCATAATCAGATTATGCTGATCATTTAATAGAGCAGTTTTTGACCAAGAATCAGAAGCCCGAGGGGTACATTTATTGCTTTAATCTGCACTCATAGAAGGCGTTTATTACCATATACTACAACTTTGTGGTAGGCCATTATTTTCATTTTCATTTTTGGCTCTTCAGAAACTTGAATACTTAAGCTTGTACATGATCTTGTGTTTTGCTATCCTTTTTACTGTAAAATGTAAATATTTTAAGGGATATTTTGATTCTAAATATGATAAAAGAATTTCTCACCTATTTTGTGTGTGTGGTTTGAAATTCAGTAGTAAAAGAATTTCTTCTTTAAAGCTTTAATTACCTTCAGAAATTGTTTTTCTCCAATTCAGCCAAGAACATACAGACATAGCTATCTGTGTCAGACATTAGATGAAGGGGAAAATAATCTTTTAAAATTCTTAGATTTTAGGCTGAGTTGAATTGTATAGTTCTGAAGAGGCTAGAATTTAGAACTACCGATGAAACACTGGGCAGCTGTAACCCACTTTATAGGTACGTTTCTGAAAACTTGTACACTATCAAAATTTGGTGTACTGACTCACTAATCATTGTAAGACCACGGAACTTGTATTTAAGAGAAATGTGTTTTGCATATTTTTCTAAAATGTGTAATTTATCCTAATTTTTACAGTAACTATACGGTTTCGTATACCAGTTTTACTTGAGATAGAAAACGTATGGAGGCTGTTATTAATCCAAATCTAAATTTATTTGTACCCTAAAATATGTACTGCATCACTGGCTATAATCTAAAGCAATAGCTACTAAACAATGCTGACACTTGAGACCAAAAACAAAAAAAGAGAGAAACCAATACTTTTACTTATCCGTATTAATGAAGAAAAATATAAATAATGCCACAAAATTAAGGTTAAATTTGTTTTCCTAAAGAGTGTAAAGATTAGAGTTAAAAATAGGTCTTGAAACTGAATTAGTCTTATTTTTGCTAGAGAGAAGAGGACAAACAGAACCAAACATTTTGTCTAATTTGCAATGACTTGCAGCACTTTTCCTTCTCATCCTTATTCTCTGAAATTTATCATTACAAAAGTTCTCAGAAGTCTGTTTAACTTTGGTTTACTTTTCTTTTGAAAATTAACTTGCTAAAAAACAAAGTTAGTCCCCAAACAAAACAAAACCTAAGGTCGGTCAGTCATTTTTGCACCATCATTAAGAAATTGCTGTCAAAGTTTTACAAATTAAAAAAAAAAAAATCAAATTTTTTTATTTCAAATGTGTATGTTGTCAGTAATAAATCTGCTTTTACTGATTTACCTAGTTGAGGGGTTGCCAGACACTAGATTTCTTTTGCAAGATACAAATAAAAAAGAATGGGTTATCAAATGAAAGAAGGCCTTCAAGTCACGTTTTGATCACCTCTTAGCTAATAGTTTCTTACACATATTGTGATGCTTACTCTAAAATTCTTTCTTCATATGTTATTGAATCTTGATACATGTTTTAAGTAGGCAAGGCCCATATAGCCTTGGGCCTTGCCTCGTGATGACCATCTCCTGGGATTACAGGGCTACTAAAGTTAAAACCAAATATTTTAACCCCTGGTTGACTGAAATATTGTGGAGAGTAGGGAAAATATGGCCACATTAACTCTTTGAGGTTTTCCTCTTGAGAAAGCAAAGGGAAAAAGATAAAAGTTTACAATGAGTAATTGATCCAAAGCTGTTCTGTCTTTAAGTCCCATCTATAGCCAGCCTTACACAAACTAGTAAATTATTTGAATTTCATCTTTCAGTTTTTTCCTGTTTTAAGGAAAACTTGCTCTTTAAAAAAAAAGTTTGACACTTTAGAAAGCTTAGAACCATCTTAAGGCAGCTTGTACATTAAGTAAAATGTACCAGGGCTTCTCAGTACCTGTAAAGTTCATCCCTTGTAATTTTTTTTTTTTTTAATTTCAGCATATTATGGGGGTACAGATGTTTAGGTTACGTATGTTGCCCTTGCCCCCCTCCCCCCCTAAGTCCGAGTTTCAAATATGTCCATCCTTCGGGTGGTGCACATTGCACTCTTTGTGTATGCAAATACCCATCCC